TATCTTTTGGAATTTTTAATCGTTAATAAAATACATTTTAAAGCGCTCAATTCAACTGAAATTTTATATACATGATTATTTGGGATGACAATACAGTAATTTAATTATAATTAATAAAAATTAATTCATTAAAACTAATTATTTAAAGAATTACACAAATACAGCCTCGTTGGCATCCTTTTTGGCGACTTATGTCAAAACTTGAAAAGTTTTTTTCTCACGTTTTAAATCATTCAGTTGAACTGAAATTTTATAGACACGATTGTTTTGGATGACAATACGATATTTTTAATGATAATTAAAAAAAACTATTAGCACTTAATGTTGTGATTCTGTTATACGTATATACATATTTATATTAATTGTGACTATTTAATAAAAAGTAGCTAAAATAAAATTTTACTTGGTTGATCTAAGTAGGAATTGACTTAATAATTTATTTATTTTTTTGTTACTTGTTATTAAGTGAGACTTCAGTAATGATCTTAAATCAAAGAAACAGCGATTAGCTGCAATAATTATTTTTCAGATTTCAGAGTTCATGTCATTTTGGTAATTTAATTCATATCATACATAGGTAAAATTTTTTATAGATTCAAATTTAAAGGAGTCTCTTTCAAACCAATTAGGAATGGTTTCCTGTACCACAAAACATATACTTAAATAATTCACCTTGATAAAGAAAATTTTACTCTTTATATTTATTCCTTATGTAACTATGTATAAAACAAGTGAGTTTCTCAAGTGATTAGTAATAATTTGTATTACTGTATGTATTACTCTAGTTAATATATTAACATTTTTAGAGAGATTTGGATTTCTATGCCCTTCTAAAATACTTTTTTTGGAATTGCATTAAATACTTTTGAGTTCCTAAAATATTTTGTTTCTACACAAATTCTAATATTTCAACAAATCACAAAAATAATTAAATGCATTATATTAGTTTTAATTTTCTAATGATATTTATTTTAGCTTTCAAAACTAAAATCTTGATTTTCATTGAAAAGCATTAAAAATATGACTTGCAATATTCAAATTTGCGGGTTATTACATATACATTTACTCCAACGTTTTTTATTAAACTTACAGTAGAAATTATTTTTATGTCGGATATATAATTTCAAAGATAAAAAATATGGTTATTTTACAAAATGTTTGATTGTCTCTTGATCTGCTTGAAAAAAAAAATAGAAAGAAAAAAAAAGAGAAAAACGAGTTTTACAGTATTCGCATATGATGTGTGTGTGTAACATCTGACATGTTATCGTGGTAAATATGCAATATTAACTTTTTTCCTGAAAAAAAAATAATAATAATTTCCTATCGAATAATTATATCTTTAGTGAAAATAGTATTTAATTAACAAAAGGAGTAATGCAATATTTTATCAAAAATAATTATTCTTGTTCAATTTGGGGAAGAGCGGAACAATAGACTTATGATAACTAAAATATGACACATTTACTTGTGATTTCAAAGTATTTAAAACCGTTGAAAAAAGCGTCAATAACGACCACTGTTAGCCGTCGAAACATTTTATTTGTGTTCATTTCGAGCTTGAGTTCATGATTCATAAGAGCTATAGCGGCTCAGAGCTTTTAAAATAAAGTTAAAGTTAAAATCACCACTAAAAATTGGGGAACGGGGGAAAATTTTTTTTTAAAAGAGCATAACCACCTTCGTTAAATGGTTAAAGTACAAATTCGAAAATCTTTAATTTTTTTAACCTTTTGATTCGAAAAAAAAATTATACAACCACCGAAATCACTGTTTGTCCATTTTCAAATAAACATTCTGCCCACTTATGTCCCCAAATGTGACTAACGGTTTAGGTAAGCCTCGAGTGCTTGATGGCTTGATTGGCCCCCATGCAGGGTAACAAAAGGAAACACCACACACCCCCATTGGTCAAATCAAGTAGCACGCGCTTACGTCACACCCCTTTTACCACATGTCCCTTTCTAAAATACCCCAAAATATCCAGCAGCCGGGGAAAGATGTTACACAAAAAAAGATTTAAAAATAAACCATATTTTATATATATATATATATATAATCGTATAATATACACTAAAAGTAATACTTACCATAATTATTATCATAGTTACAGTAAAATACGTTTAATGCGAAAACACTTTAGACGAAATATCGGTTATCACGAATTAATACAACGGTCCCTATAAAATACTTTGTATTTTCATGCACTTTTTTCTCTTAGCACGAAGATATTTCCTTTTTGGGAATGAATAAAATGTGAAACCTACCATCCAAGCAAACGAGATTTAAGAGGGTGTGAAATAAACAAATATATATAAAAAAAAAATTAAGTCAATTCCTACTTAGGTCAACAAAGAAAAATTTTATTTTAGTTACTTTTTATTAAATTGATACAATTAATGTTAATATACATATACATATGACCGAATCACAATATTAAATGACAAAATAGAAAGCGATTTTCCTTGCAATTTTCTATTTTCCTTTCTATATAGGCTATTGGACTATTTTTTATTTATTTATTTATTTTTAGTTGTTACTGTTTATTGATGTGTAACATCTTTCCTCTCGATTGCTGGTTTTTGTGGGAGTGATTTCGTGAAAAGGGACAGAATGTAACGTATGTAACAGAATGTGACGTATGTGCGCGCTACTTGATTTGACTAATGAGGGTGGTGTTTCCTTTTTGCTACCCTGCATGGGGGGCCAACTCTAGTAGCCATAAGCACTCGACTCTAAATCCGTTAGTCATTATATTGGGAGACATAAGTGTGGCAGAATGCTTATTTGAAAATGGACAAACAGTGTTTTCGGTGGTCGTATGCATTTCTTCGAATCAAACAGTTAAAAAAAATTAAAGATTTCCTGCATTTTGTATTTTTTCCCCTATAACGTGGTGGTTATGCTGTTTTAAAAATTATCCCCCCTTCCCTGATTTTGAGTGGTGATTTTAACTTTAACTTCATTTTGAAAAAGCTGAGACGCCATAGTTTTTATGAATAATGAACAAAAATTAGAATGTTTCGACTGTAACAATGGTCTGTTATGACCTTTTTCAACGGTTTTAAAAACTTTTAAATCCAAATATATGTGTCATACTTTATATCATAAGTTTATTGTCTCCGCTCTTCCCCAAAATTTAACGAACAAGAATAATTTTTTTTGATAAAATATTACTTTCCCTGTTTTTTAAATACAATTTTCATTAAAGATATAATTATTCGATAGAAAATTATTTTCAATCATACCCGCGAATAAATCATATTTTTTCAGGAAAAAATTTAATATTGCGTATTTACCACGATAACATGTCAGATGTTACACATCATATGCGACTACTGTAAGACTCGTTTCTTTTAATTAATTAAATTTAATTCTTCTTATAAAATAGTAGAGTAAAAAAATCACGTTATCGGAAATTAGGCCATCCCAGGTGGGATTCGAACTCACGAGCTTTGGATTAGAAGTCCAACTGGCTATCCATTGCCCTACAGGGACACCACGAACAATTTTCCTTTCAATGTATGCTGTTGGACTATTATTTTTGTTTGTTACTATTTATTCATATTTTAATTTAATTAATGAAATAATATTTGAAAAATATATTAACATCAAGTGGCATATACTACAAATTTTTAAAAAAAATGCATTTGATTTTGAAAGGATGAATAGAAAGTATTTTATTAACGACTGAACATCTGAACAAGATATATATATATAGGGAGAGAGTGAACTAATAGTAGAGGAATTGAATAATAGAGAGAGTATTCTAAAAATGATAAAAGTTCGAGTATTCAAATATAATATGTATAAAAACATATTTAGCTCATGTGGGCAGCTTAAATGGTTCTCTAAGCCATTTAAGCTACACACTGTTTCAAAAATAATAGGTTACTAAAACCTATTACCAGACTTTAGAATTCATGCGCTGTAACCTATTACTTTTTTGGAACAGTTTGGTATAACTCTTATTTTCTCTATAAGCCATTTAAGCTACACTTAAAAAAATAAATTCAAATTAAATTCAAAAAATAAAAATATAATACACATTGCTGTGTATTGACAATATTTTAGAGTACTTGCTGAAAATTACAAGTCCAAATAAAACGTTTTTCAAATTTTTCTAAAAAAAAATAATCAATAAAAAAATAGAAAGTTTTGTTCTGCTATATTCACATTATTCCCAAACACATTACAATTCTAACGAAGGAAAAAGAATACATTTAAAAAAAATTCCATAAATCGAACAACACGCCGACATCGATATTTTCTTTCTATTCGAAGTGAAGAAGAGAAAGAGCGAGAACTTTTTCCCAGCATCCAAAAGGCCGAAGCATCTTGGAAGCCATCCCACGCGTGAAAACCGCCTTCTTTCCACGGGAGGGCTTACGCGAAGCCCGCCGCGGAACAACTTTTTGGTGTCCCGCCCAACAGCACGGCCGACGGGCGGGGATACGGGCGTCACGTGGTGTCACGTGTCCGGCGCCGCATCTTCCACCACAACCACACCTGTGCTTGAGAAGAAGTGCGCCATATTTGGCGCAGTATCGCTTGTTTTGGGAAATTGAGTTTCGGGGAAAAGTTTTATATACCTGGTTTCGGAATAGGTAAAATGGATTTAATTTTATTTAAGTTGTGAAAGAGTTCTACTCAAACATAATCACGAAAGAGACATTTTAAAATAATTTTGATAAATTTTTCATTACTAATTGGTGCTTCAACTTTTTGTTTGAGAGAAAATACATAGATATTATTTTAAAAAATTATTTTTAAAAGTATTTTAAAAGAATTCCGTTAAAAAAAATGAAAGAAATTATTAAATTAGTTTTGAATTTTTTTTAAAATAGTACTTCCGTGCACATTGGGCCATTCTTGAAGAATTGTATTCGGGAAATTTATATCGTATGTGCTTGTAAAAAAATTTAAAATTCAAGTACTTTTGCATAAATTAATATTTAAAGTGAATTCGGATAAAAACTTATATGCTGAAAAAAGGGTTTGAAAAAGTTTTGATAAAAAAATAATATTTTGAATACGAAAATAATAGATTTAGTTTCAGTTATTAAAGGGGTCCCCTTTTTTAACATTTTTTTCTTCGAATAATAAATATTTTCCAAAAGTTTTCAAAAGTATAAATAAAGTAAAATTATCTGTCAATGTCTTACAAATTGTTTTCCTAATAATAAACACAAATTCATCCTAAAGAATAAGCCCTTATTCTAAAATCAAATTTTGTTCCCTTTCGAGTTTCCATGTATATAAGAATTTGGTAGTTTCTGTTATTCTGAGATGGGTTTATTTTCAAATATTTTATTAAAATAAATATTCATGTTCATTAAAATGTGGCTCAATACAAGATGATTATTATTGACAGTTATATTTTTGTTTTAGAATGCAAGAAAAAATAGAAAAAATAATAGCCTATCATAAGTGTTATAGAAACAAATAAACTCACTTGCATCTTAAAAAAGTATATTTACAGCATCTCGAATAACTATTTCCATACAAAAAAAATGCTCTAATATTAATTTTATTTTCTGATATCACGAGTAAATTGTGAATAGCATATTTTGATTGACAAATTGTTTCTACTCCGTTTTGCTTCAAATGAATTTTTAACTTAAGCCAGTGGCGCACACAGGAATTTTTAAGGGGAAGATCAGGGTTCGAAAGTTAACCATTCTCGTATCCTGCTCCATTACGCCACCCAACATATTCTATTGATTTTGCCGATTTTCTGGAACAAAAAACAGTAAAAAATTAGTTATTAAATAAATAAGTAGCATTAATTAAAAATATTAATTATTAAAAACAGATACTTGATTTTACGTACTATATACACACATATCAGTGGCACACAAAAGGGGGTCCGGCCTCCCCATAGCACTTGACTTTTTTTTCAGCTGATTATAATCCTATGTATATAATACGTAAAATTTAACTAAATATTGGTTTTTAATAATTAATTTCATTAATTAATGCTAATTATTATTCAATAAATTATTTTTTACTGTTTTTTGTTCCCGATAATCGACAAAACCAAAAGAATATGTTGAGTGGCGTATTAAGGTATCATATGAGAATGGTGGACTTTCAACTCCGGACCCCCCACCCCACCTATCCCCTTTGAAAAATTCCTGTGTGCGCCACTGCATAGGATTATATTCAATCGAAAAAAAATCAAGAGCTTTGGGGGTAACGGGGGTCATCCCCTTTCTTTCCGCAACTGACTTAACCATTATAAAATGCACCATTTAATACGTCTTTCTGGATTTTAATGATGTGTTATATCATGAATAGATATATTTTTATTGTACCTAAAATGTATATAAAAATAGTATGTTCATTATACCATAAATTACAGGGGTGGAAAACTTGTTTTGCCTCCCTGGCCACATGGCGGGGTTGAGGATACTGGAGGGACACATCTTTTTAAAATGATTGCATTCATTGTAAAAAAAAATAATACATATTAGATAAAAAAAATACTGGCAGTATTATTCAATTGATTTATTCCTCTAATTTTATACCTATACCTGCAAGCACATTTGATTTTAGTCAGTTAAATGAGACAAATGTACCCTATAATACTTTTCTACAATTTGTTTTTAAATCAGGAGTAAGATTGCTTGTTTAAATTCTCGTTACAACCTGCAAGTTTATGTCAACTAACTTTCAATCGTATTTGCTCTTGTTGAGCTTTATGCAAGAAAAGCTTAGCTCACAAATAAAATGTCGACTAAAATATAAAACAAAAACAATTTCCCCGCAAATTTCTTCATGCATGTAAATTTTTCAGCTGACAAAGATTTGTAAAAGTTAATGTCATAGCATTAAACATTTTCTTCACAATATGATCCGACTTCAAGTCAATAAGTTCAAGCTGTATCTCCTCAGGTGCTGTATCAATATCAGTAGTAATGGGATAACAAAGCAAATTGAATTTAGGCTCAATTTTTTTAAAATCCTGAAATCTTCTTGTGACCTCGTCCTCCAAAAACTTCTACGGTAAAAACCTCCGGTTTTTAGTTTTCCAAAAATAAAAAATAAACAGATTTTTATCTCACACGGAAAAGAAATCATTGAACCCCGCCCAATTAAAAAATTACTCTAAATCTTTAAAAGGAAACCACTTAAAATTTTTTTTTTAATAAAAAATTTTATTGAAAATTTATTTTAGTCATTTTTTTTTTTTTAAAAAAATAGGTTTCCCTAAAGTCAAAACTGCAATCATATTCCCTAAAAAATTATTCTTTATTTCGTAAAAAAAAAATTGATGAAAGATATTCACAAAAAATAAACTGAAGAACATGGAAAGAACTCTTATAATATCTATTTTTTAATTTGTGTTTATTTTTCAAGGGAAAAAGGAAGAAAAATTTTTAAAAAGAATAATTTCTGGAGTATTTTTGAGAAGGGGACATACAATTATCGTTTTAAAAAAGATTTTGGGAAGAAGATAAAAATTTTTTTTTTATAATTAACTGCAAAATTTAATGAAAATATTCATTATTGTCATTTGTTTTTTAAATATTCCGTGGTGTTCTTTATAACTTTTCCCTTTTTTTGGGGTGGGGTTTGCGTTTTTACGAAAAAGCAATGTAAAAAATTTGCAGGTTGATAGTAAGAAAAAGGGGGAGCTGACCACCCCAAGGTGTTCTTCCTCGGGGGGGGGAAACCCAAATGTATTTTGGGGGAGTATAGTGCCAAAGCGCCAACGTAGAAAAAAAACTGCCCCCACGATAAATTTCGGGGCCCGATCTATACTTAATCGGGGGCTTCAGAAAATGCAAAAAAAAAAATTTTTCAAAGTAAATAAATTTAGTGTTTTTAACTTTTAATATGGAAATTTATATAAACCAGACGGTTTTAGAAAAAAAAAAAGGAAAAATCAGATAATAACCTATAACTAATTTTGATATATAAAGTGTGAGGCGAAAAAAATATTTCTTACAAATATTTTATTTCGTATTCCTTCCCTGTCAAAATCATTATTTTTTACCTGTCTTTATATAATCAAATATATTTATTCTTCTGGAAAAAAAATTTTTAGACAGAAATTAATATTTTCGATTTTTTAAAAATTTACAGAGAATAATATTTCTACTTGCTTAGATAAAAACCCCTCATTTATTATGTTTTTATTCCTCTAAAAAAAAGGAATTTAGTTTGACTTCGAAACTAAACTTTATATTCAAATGAATATTTAAGAAAATTGTTAGATTCTATTAAAAACACAATTATAGTTTGGAATTACACTAGAACCACGAGTCCGGGTAACACTTTAAGGGAAACGACATTTTAAACTATCACTTATTAAATGTCACTTGAAATTTAATTTAAATTAAAAATTAAGGTTTTTTTTTTAAAAGTTCAAGGGAACTCGGCGAAGGATTTGAGAAAAACAGCCCCCCTTTTTAAACTTTCATATCCGCCATCGGGGTCTGTTGCCTCGGCATACAAAATATCCCCTCCAAAGGGGTCCTTTTTTGAGGCCC